AAATTCACTGCATTGAGCAGCAAACCTAGCGATATGCTCTACTGTTGACTGGTTTCCATTCTCATAAAAAAAGGCGAAATCTGGTATCCTGAAACCTCTTGGGTATTCATGTACCCTATCTACCCATTTTGGGTATGGTTTTCTGTATACAAGAGTCTGGATCCCTTGAGCCATTGGTCCACACATCTCCCTAACGATGTCAGCAATTTGGTCCCTAGGGACCATATTTTGTGCCTGCTGAATCACCGCCGGAGGAACAAACACAGGATTTGGTGGACAAACTTGTGCTTGTGGTCCTCTTGGTCCATAAGGTGGCATGTTTGGGACTGGTTGTCCTTGTGGTGCAGGTTGCTGATGGGGGTGTGGGTAACCCTTTTGAATTTGTCCTACGAAAGAATCTGTGAAAGGTGCTGGAACTGGTGTTGTGTCTCTTCCATTTGTAGGAAAACCTTCCAACTCCCCGGGTATAAATTCGAATAAGGGATTAGTGAACCCCCTTGCGCTAGGTATGGCTTCGAACATGGGATTTGGAACCATTCTTATGCCATTTTCTTGTACTGGGCCAGTTTCACCAAATTGCATGGCTTCACTGTTAAGTACTGAGACATTTTGACCTACTACAGGCCTCGGAACAGGTTCGTACCAAGACTGAGGTGATGGTCTTTCATAGTTCTGATTACTGGTTTGACCATTAGAATGTCCATTAACTTGCATAGGCTGTTTATCTCTAGCCAATCTTTGCTGAGGGACATTCGAAATTTCCTCCATGTGTCTTACGTTTGTTAGTTGGTGGTTATTCATTCGATCTAAAAAGGATGTTGCCCACCTTTCCATTGTGTTCATTAATTGTTGTCCCATTGCATCTATTAAGCCACCCCATGGATTCATTGGCTGAGTAGATGGGACAGTGGATGGTCCAATTCCTTGGTCTCGTCCAATATTACGAACATATGGTTATTTGTTTTGAAGTACTGGTCTGTTTGACCATAGGTTCTGATAAAATGAGAGTTTCCACAGGATATGTTATAACGTTATCCTCTGGATTAGGTATCTCTACCTCTCCTTCCACGCCTTCTTCCAAGCGTTCATTTTCTCCTTGTCTCCTACGTCTAGCCATTTCAATTCAGTCCCACTGGGCGTGCCAAAAATATATGTTGGCTTTTGAGCCTTCGAAGGTTATTATTGTAATTGCAAGCGTGCCTGCAAGGATCAATCAGTCCTTACAGAAATTTAATTGCCAACCAATTATCAGACGATTGCATTTTAGTTCTCTCAGCCTCAATGAAGAGGACTTTTACCGGTGGCTTGATTTAGGAGAATTAAACAAAATACCAATCAAATAAAGAACAACTGAAGTATTTCATTAGAATGAAAAAACTTACAATGATCCAAACTCAGCCTCGTAGAGGTTTACAGCGACAATCTACTTGAAACTACTCCTATGAATGAAGTGCAGTGCAGAATTTAAAGTGCTGGAATGTAAAGAACATGACATGTAAAACTAAATAAAGTAGAATAAGACTGGTTTTCTGGATTGAGTCTAGGGGTCCTTTTCTAGGGCCTTCTCTGCTATTTATACTGTTTAAGGATGACCATCGAACTGTATTTCCAACCGTCGAACTGTTCCTTCATGATCGCTAATCATGTTGCCTCAAGATTAGCTCCATTACGCCATCACTTGCAGTTAGGCTTCCCTCTTGAATTTGAATTCAAATGTGAGTAACCGATGATGCCACGTCACTTTGTATCTCTCTGCTAATCCACTGTTACTCAGATCTCGTAACAACCAATATTAACTGACACGTGTACGATCAAGATCGAAGATTTGAATAGTCTTCCCGTACTACCCTTACTTTGCCACGCGTCAAATTGTAATTGGCATGTACAAAATATGTAGCCAACTGTAGCACCAACCGAGGACCTTAAAAGAGACGGTAAAAATAAGGGCCAAGCCCAAAACCTCCTCTAATTTTACCCATCATAAACACCTAGGGTCCGAATACAACCGGTCCATTCAAGGGTTCCGAAACAACTATTTGCGCAAGACTTAATCTTCAATTAGGGAACACACCCTATCAATCTATACTTGAAGTTAACACATTATCATTTCATCATTACTCAAGTGATCAAAAACCCAATACCACCCCCATTTTGTTTCCTTTTGAGTTAGATATTTTAAGTTAAGGTTATAACAAGTTATTTAGACAATAATTTCTATACACGTATGAGCATCAACAAAGCACCATAGTAAAGAAATATTAACATAACAATGAAAAAATCATACCAAGGCCCAAACAAGTGATAAGAAGCACATTCATGGAATTTTAAGTATGAAATCATCAACAAACATAAATTTTCCAATTAGATACACTTTAAAGATCACAATCTAAGTGACATTTTAATTTTTTCCGAAACTCAGCCTTTCTATGGTTTGTAGAGAATTTTATCTAATTTGTAGATTATCTTTCGAAAATAGGATAGCTTTTCTAAATTTTTAATTATTAAAGGAATACTTTTGCACTGCCCAAATTCGTCAACTGTTACAAAAATCGAATTCTCTTAAACCACTCATTCATTTTTAATAAAACCATTTTTATTTGAAGGCTTATATTTTAAGGAAAGTTTTGCTATGAAAATGAGGTCATGAAGATTTTTCTACATTTGTGTAGAATTTTGGAAATTGGGCTGAAAATATTGGTTTTTCTTGCAAAAAGCTTGAAATAAGAAGAGTAATAAAAAAAGAGAACAACCATGAGTAAGTTTCCGCTTCTCTTATGATGAAAACATGCTAAATAAATAATGTGAGAAGTGGATAGAAAAAGATAGTTTTACTTCCATTAAGTGAAAATATAAGTAAGGAAATAAACAAGGCTCTAATTATTTTATTCAAACACAAAAACGCTATGAATACACATGAAAATGATACATTAAATCTCTAAGATCATCTATTTGAATGAGAAAATAAAAGTAAATTACACTTTACATAAAATCTCATTTTGGTATGTTATTTTTTTAATTACAATAATTAATTTTTTGCAATTTTAATTTGCAATGTCGATTTTCCGTTCATTTCATTTTAAATTGTCTAACCAAAATTGTCATTTGACTTTCACATAAGGCATCTTTAAAGAAAAAATATAGCCTTTTATTTATTTTAATTTTCACATTTCTATTATATTTTAAAAAAATCAAATTCTATATAAAATGTAGGATGCAATGCAAAGTGTAGTTTGCTCTACAAATAATTACGTTACATGCGTCTACAAATTTAACTGTTGACAATTAATTCTAGAAAAAATAAATAAATACCATTAGAAAGGCTTTTTTTATTTTTATTTTTACAATTGACTGGAGAGTAATTACAAATATAAAAAATATTTACATTATCAAATAGACTGCTAGCCCATATTAACTAGAAACTCAAGAAAACCTAATAAAATCAATATACCAAGCCCAAAGCCAAGCTCAACAACCAAATAAACCATCACCACAACCCCCCATAATGGCGAAGAATAATGAACCAGCACAAAGAGTATCAAATTCCTCTCTGTAAAAGTTCAACTCGAAATCTCACGCTACAAAAGGGTGTTACATGATCATTAAGACAAATGCCCTAATTAAAAGGAAAAATTAGCTTGGAGATGCAAAATAAGTTGACTTTTAGTTTTGATAACGTAGTGCTTCTTTGCACAAAATAAAATTTGGTCTTGAAAAATTTGCCAAACACGTACTTGACTCAAAAGATTAATTTTTAGCACAACATATTTGGACTTGATTAAAGTACCGCTTCTTTAACTAGGGTATGTGGCCTAATATTTATGCAACACAATTTATGGTATAAGGTTTCAATTTAAACTTTTATGAAGAAGAGTTTGATACTCCTTATATTGTGGTGATTTATTTTTCCCCTATTACGAGAGTTGCTTTTGTGTAATTGTTGGATTTGGGCTTGGTGGGTGGTGGGTTTCGATTATTAGTTGTTGGTTTGGTGGGTGGTGGGTTTCGGTTATTAGTTGTTCGATATTCTAATTATTATGAACTAGTGGTCTGTTCGATTATGTAAATATTTCTCATGATTGCAATTACTCTCCTATCTATAAATAAAAGAAAAATAAATAAATAACTCTTCGTTTTTAGAGGGCTTTTTTTTTTTTTTTTTTGTCTCAATCTAAAAGTGTCTTTGGTAATCATTCTTGTACAAGGTTTGCTTCCAAACACAATTATTTATTTATTAATATATTTTGTATCACAGCCACTTAAATTACAATATTTAAACAACACAATTATTTGGATTTTTTTTTCTTCCCTTAGTCATACAATAGAATGTCAGTAAGTTAAATTATAACGAACGGGCAAATATCGACTTGAAACCTAAACCTCTGACTTTCAAAATCACCAAAAAAACAGCATAAATGGAACATTGGATCAGGGTTTAGATCATTTTGAGTGAACTTTTATATTATTTTCCTTACATGAAAAGTAGAAATACAAAATTCAAAACTCCGGCCAGGAAAGGCTTCCATCCTCTGGTTATACAAGTCATAGTCAATGATCCAGCTATATATAGATTGATAAAACCAAAAAGTTAAATGATGTTGATCCTCAAAAACTTCATCGGCAGCAATGTGGCAGCCTCACAACAAGAAATATAGTAACAACAAAAACAAAAGCAAAAGCACAAAAATAAATAAATAAATAATATTATCTAAAGAAAACATCGCCTTAAACTATCCAGCCAGCTAGGTTGATTGGATGCTCCGGCCGAATGTTTAGAACCACCCCGTTTGTACCTGATCAAGCTCACCAGTAAAACTCAAGCGTACACACATATCTTCCAACTCAGTATGCCTATATGCACAGGCCATTGAATGCATATCCATTTTTTATGCTTTGCGTTTGGCTTATATTCAATGAGCCAGCATTCTCTCCCGGTGTCTCCTAGCGTAGCATTCATTTGAATGTAAGATAAATAATATAGACTTTTCAATGACATCAAATAAGCTTGGCGGGCTTAAATTAACAAGACTAGCATTTTCTTTGCTGGTTGTGGAGAACCAAAAAATGTGTTAATGAACTTTCATCTCTAATGCTTTCTGGAATCCTGAAAGATTATAGCCCGCTTGGATGAAAAGCTATGGAGTTACAACAGACAAAGGAGAAGAAGCTTCTATCTCGGCATTTTAGCCATGAACATCCGTTGGAACATACCAGTTCACCTCCAAAAGGTGACACCGCTGCCTGTTTTGGATGCAAGCTAAATATATTCTCTGGCAAGGAGTATTACAAATGCAAGATCTGTCCATTTTCTCTTCACAAAGTATGCCACAATATGCCCAAAAAAGTCCAGCATCCTGCTGATCCAGAGCATCATTTCACCCTCCGAGCCATGCCTCATTCATCATCTACCACAGCCTCCTTTAATTGTAAGGCTTGTGGCCTCTGCATCATTGGTTTCTACTATAACTGTGACAAATGTGGTGATTACTATCATATTTTATGCTCGGTAGTGCCACTTTTTGTCAAGATGCCTTCCCACATTCATCGGCTCAAACTAGAATTTTCACCACCATATGACTTTCAATGTGATTTATGCAAAAAACCCAGTTACAATGGATGGCTTTATCGTTGTGGCTTATGTGAATTTGATGCCCATCTTTCATGTGCCATTACCAACAAAGGTACAGAGTGGCTTCAACATCAATCAGCACCACAAAGGTACATTGCCTTGCCCATTAACCAAAATTTGGATTGCAACAATAAAGGTCATGAAATTATGGAGTTAATAACACGAGGAATGAAGGGCACAGGGCAGAGCATTTGCGTGGAGATTGGTACAGATCGATCTCTTCCCCATGATCAATATAGCCTACTTTCTGAAGATTTGACAATCCCTAGTTATCAATTCAGTGATCTTTGTTTTTCATTAGATTTTGCTAAATCTCTTCTGGGTGATGAATACATGGATCAAAAAACCAAGGAAGCTCATTCCCATGGGATAGATAATATTCCAGAAGTTAAAGCAAAAACAAGCCATGACTATGCTGCCTTGCCCAATGGGATCATGGATCATTTGAAGCATACTAATCTAGCACCAACTCTTGCTAAAAAGCCAAGTTTTGATTTTCATAACGAAGGTCCAAATCCAAAGAATAGGTTAAACGGGCCATTTTCAACTGGCATGGCTGGTCATGTTTGGATGGAACTAGGACAAGAAAGTCAAAACAGAAAACCAAATGGAGCCAGTGGCAGGACAGATGATACAAAGAGCACAAAATCTGACACTGTAAGTTCAGTGATTAGAAGATTCTTTCTATGTTCATATACATTTGTTTTAATGAGACTTACAAGCTATATCTTTCACTAAAATTTTGATCTTGGTGCATTACTCAAATTTTTGCATTCTTTAGTTCCTAGTTCAACCAATTTTTTATTGCTGCTATAATTTTATAGACATTGCATCATGTTAGGGAATCAGGAACTTTGCCTCCATAAGGAAATGTGTGAAGAGCCAAAAAAGGCTTCTAGGTCTGCTTGCTTTGAAATAAATCACAAAACAATACATAGAATGTACATGTTAATATACGGTGGAGTCAATCTTTGAAAAAAAAGAAAAACAAAAACAAAAACAAAGAAAAATAACATGAAAAAAAGTAACATGGGTGTTGTGATTTTGCCAAGCAAGAGATGAGTTGCTTTTTTGTTCCCCCCCCAAACCAAAGGTCAATCATACCATGTTGATATGTGCATTCTGGGTACTTTCTATGGTCTAATTTTGTATACCTACACTTACTCTAAATAAACAGACTATGAAGCAAAGCATTAGGGATTGAGTAGTGAACGATTAGACATGAATGAATGTGAAAAAAAAAAAAAATGTATTAAGGTATTTTTTTACCATCTTTGCAGGAAAGTTTGGGTTCATATTTGTCTAGGCTTCTTTTATGCTTCTATTATCCGAGGAATAATGGTATAGGTAGTAAATCTTTCAAGAATGGAAGGAAGTGAAAGTTCAATCCAGATTGGAGACCTAGCATGGAAAAGACTCGAAATATCGATCCTTGGTTATTCTTTGCTCTTCAATTCATAATTTACTAATGAATGTCATTATTTTAGTGTTGTAATGTGAATAAACTTTCCACAATCACTAATATATTCATAATATGATCATTAGTTTTTCCACATCTACATCCCGAAGAAGCTGTGTACTGTTGCAGCAATGTGTGGTTTGTTCATTATTTTTGCATTGAATGGTTGAACATTTCTTGATGGTCTACAATCAATTTTGCAGAAAAATCTTTATTTTTATTACATATTTTTTAGAAAGTCAACTTAAAAGCAGCTTGTAGGGGGTCCAAAATGAATAGTAATAATAATATCACTTAGAGAGGCAAAGCTGTGCAAACAGTTGATAATAGAGTGTTCTTTGGAATTTTGTCAATAATCTTTACAAAATTCCATATTGCATTCATATACTCATCCGTAGATCTATCAATTTAAAATCCAACTGTTTAAAATAGTTTTTAAATATATACTTTGTATGTAGTGCTTTCAAGTTTTTAATTACCTAGTTAGACACACCCAACCTTTATCCATCCTTTGGAAACCACGAAATAACTTCTTTCCTGATATGATCAAGTCATGTATATTATCTTGGTTAAATAATTGGTGCAAAGTCATGCAGGAGTTGTACATGTTACAAAATAGAATTCCATCAATAATAATAACACATGAAGGTAGAGTGCATCAAAGCAGTTAATAAATATTATGAAATTACCAATTCCTGAGGACATTTCAATTGTTAGAAACAAACACTTGGGATGCTCGAGAAGACAGGCAATTTTTAACAACCCAATATTGACTAGATCAGATTTGCACAATCCTAAAAGAATCTAATTCAATGATAGCACCATAAGCAATTTTATAAAAAGGTCTAGACATAACTCCTTTCTTTTTGCTACTTTGCACAATATAGCTTGCACATAACCCAAATGAATATATGAGAAAAGTAGTTAATTCAATCTACGTGCAGAAAAATGTGTGTACTCATGCGATAAGACAAGAGCTTAAAATGTTGGAAGTTACCAACTTCTACCCCAAAAAATAAAAAAATAAAAAAAAATAAAAAAATAAAAAAATAAAAATGACCAAGAATCCTAAAAGAGAGCAACCAATATATGTATGAAAACTGCAAAGAAAATAAAATAGTACGAGTTAAATCTCTTTTACCATTAATTAGGGGTGTAATTTGGACGGGTTTAACCCAAACAACTCGAACCCCTTCAAAAAAATTTTAGGACTTGAATAAGATATTTTCAAATTCGGTACTGGCTTGGATAAGAATTTAGAAGTCCGAATTAAATTTGGACGGGCTTAAGCAAATACGTCAAACAACCTGAGTAACTCAAAACCCGAATTATATATCTAAGTATTTAATATATATATAACTTATTAGTCATTATATGATATTAAAATAATTTAAATTATTAAATTATATTGAATATATATTATATATACGAATAACATAAAATCTTACTTTTTTTTTTATTTTGCCTCATAAATTATAAAGGCTACAATAGCGACATCTCTCTTATAATATATAAATTATTTGTTTTGATGGTATTAATGATTTTCTATATAAAAAAAATGTAAATAGAATCAAATTTTAATAATTTGATAATGTAGCTGCAAAAAAAAAAAAAATGGAAAGAAGGAAAAAAAAGAAAAGAAAAGAAAAGAAATTTATTTACAATTCAGGTTTAACTAAGGTCGGATTTAGGTAGACAATCTCAAATTACAATTTAAACTAAGCTTAAACAACCTTCCAACCCGACTAACCTCGCCCGAGTTACACCCTTACCTTTAATGAGATTCATTGAGGTCAATGTCCCCGCAATCCAACCACCAAAACTAAACGTCAATCATGTATGCAAAAGTAGGATAGCCAATATCAGTTTTTATTATGCCCCTTTCTGCTTTTTAAATTCAGGTTGGTTTGGAATGTTCTAAAAAAATGTATTTTTTGACTTATTGACTTATATGGGTTGAGTTTGGATTGAGTTTGATGTGATGTGTTAGAGAAGTGATGTGATTTAAATAAGATGATATGACTTAAATAGAATAATAACTTTTTAACTTTTTATATTATTTAGTTTATGCCAAACCAATCCTCAATATCAGTGGCCTCCACCTTTTAAGGTACCAAGTTTTTAACAATGATGTCATTTCTAAACTTTCATAAAGTCAACAAAACTCTGGAAAAGATGGTTTCAAAAATGATTTTTTTAAATTGTGTTTAAATTATAAATTTTTATAGAAATTTAAAAAATATATATATATGAGGACTTGAATAAGATATTTTCAAATTCGGTACTGGCTTGGATAAGAATTTAGAAGTCCGAATTAAATTTGGACGGGCTTGGGCAAATACGTCAAACAACCTGAGTAACTCAAAACCCGAATTATATATCTAAGTATTTAATATATATATATATATATATAACTTATTAGTCATTATATGATATTAAAATAATTTAAATTATTAAATTATATTGAATATATATTATATATACGAATAACATAAAATCTTACTTTTTTTTTTATTTTGCCTCATAAATTATAAAGGCTACAATAGCGACATCTCTCTTATAATATATAAATTATTTGTTTTGATGGTATTAATGATTTTCTATATAAAAAAAATGTAAATAGAATCAAATTTTAATAATTTGATAATGTAGCTGCAAAAAAAAAAAAAATGGAAAGAAGGAAAAAAAAGAAAAGAAAAGAAAAGAAATTTATTTACAATTTAGGTTTAACTAAGGTCGGGTTTAGGTAGACAATCTCAAATTACAATTTAAACTAAGTTTAAACAACCTTCCAACCCGACCAACCTCGCCCAAGTTACACCCTTACCTTTAATGAGATTCATTAAGGTCAATGTCCCAGCAATCCAACCACCAAAACTAAACATCAATCATGTATGCAAAAGTAGGATAGCCAATATCAGTTTTTATTATGCCCCTTTCTGCTTTTTAAATTCAGTTGGTTTGAAATGTTCTAAAAAAATGTATTTTTTGATTTTTTGACTTATATGGATTGAGTTTGGATTGAGTTTGATGTGATGTGTTAGAGAAGTGATATGATTTAAATAAGATGATATGACTTAAATAGAATAATAACTTTTTAACTTTTTATATTATTTAGTTTATGCCAAACCAATCCTCAATATCAGTGGCCTCCACCTTTTAAGGTACCAAGTTTTTAACAATGATGTCATTTCTAAACTTTCATAAAGTCAACAAAACTCTGGAAAAGATGGTTTCAAAAATGATTTTTTAAACTGTGTTTAAATTATAAATTTTTATAGAAATTTAAAAATATATATATATATATGAATAAAATATAAATAAAATATAAAAATTTTAGCTAAAACCAGTGTTCAAAATGAGTCTAAACACTTGAATTAACTTATATATATGCTTGACTAATCAAAAATGGCTAATCAAGGTTTAGTGCTAATTAATCAAAGCTCAAGTTTAATTGAATTGAATTTAATTATTTTGATCTGAATAAATTTTTAATTAAATTTCATTGTAAGCTCTAAAAATTATGCTAATCATAATGGTACAGTCAATTTTGGTTTATGTCTCCTCTACGGCCCTCAATTTTAGTTTATTACCAAATACCGAACAAATTTTCCTATGATGAGCATATATGAATTAAAAAACATACATAATCACATGATTAGCATCTAAATTCACATTAAGCAAATAATTACAAGTATAATTACAACTTAATCATGTAATACAGAACGAGATTGTCACTGAAGGAAAGGGAGAATAAGGTTGTAAATGAGGTGTAGGTGTAAACAAAAATTTATAACCCTTTAGAACGAAGAGGGATAGTCATATTTATATAGTTTTGAGGCAAAGAAAATATCCGAGAAACTTGCAGAGGAAAGCTCAAAGGCAAAATATCTAAGATATTTGTGTAAAATTCGAAGAAAATGTCGAATTTCCCAAAATTGCTTTATTACCCAGACAAATCATCCAGCCAGACAAAAAATATCCAGCCAGACAAAAGCATTGTTGGTCAGACAAAAAATTGTTTGGCTAGATAGTTTTTTAAAGAGGAAAACATGGTTTTTTTTTTTTTTTCCTTCAGAAAACTTTCATTCCTTCTACCCATTTTCACTTTTTCCTTTCTCAATTTACTAAGAGAATATAACACCTGAATTTTGAAAATGCGAGCCTTAAACTTTGTAGAAATGTTTGGATTCACACAAAAAAAGTATTTTGAAAAAGATTTATAAAAGGATCTAAAATAGTTTGGCCAAAAAAGGTGTAAGGTTGAACCTGGCTCTCCTATTGAGGAATTCGTAAGATAGCACATTCCAACTTTCATTATCGGGTGTTTGGAAAAGAGTGCCTAAGCCTTAGAGCCAGTCAAAATGGGGTGTCTACAGAAATCTAGGCTCGATGGTTACTCAAGCCAAGTGTAATAAAAATTGTGGTCGCTCGAGCGGACACTTTGTTGCTTGAGTGATGTGCAATGTTCTGCAAAAATACTGGAAACTCTCATTGTGCGCTCGGATAGTAACTTCATCGCTCGAGCGATGAGGCCGAATTCTGAGTTTTCAAAACATGAAAGAAAATGCCCCAAACTCATTTCCAAAGCAAAAACTCTTGCTTGGCTTGTTCTAACCATGAAAACACTTTCATAAACATGAGTATATAGTCAATTTCAAACCCCTAGCTCAAAACTTCAAGAATTCTTCAAAATTAAAACTCAAATCTTCATGCATGTATGAATTAGTTTCAAACTCTTTTCCATAACTTCCAAATCATGAAATTAAGCTTTAAAACGTTGTAAATCAAAGATGCATGTATAATTCAACTTAGATAACATGAATCATGCTTAAAATGATGAAACTTCACAAAATTATGCATGTATGTATGCCTAGCTTCAAATTCCTCATCTTTAAACTCATTTCTTCCAAATTACTTGTATTAATCACAAATTATCTATGAATTCAGTAGCTAGGTGACTTGATTCCATGAATTAAAGGTCAAACTCTTACCTAGAGTCTTGAATTTAGCTTGTTCTAGCAAAATCTTGAGTTCCTCTTCTCAATTCGCCAATCTCCTAGCAATTCTCTAAGCTTTCGAGCTTCTCTCTCT